GTACTCCTTCATGCCATATTCTTTCCTGATTTATCACAGTCATATACTCAACTAATATTTAAGCCAGTTTCAAAACTTTTTGAAAACATAAGGTTTTTAGGGCACAATAAAGCTAAAACTGTACCTTCTTCTTTGTCAGGAGCAACGCAAAATATATTAATGCAAAATATTATAAATAGTTTCTTCTGATACCGACACAAAACATCACGACGGAAAAAAAAAGGTTATAACAGATGTACATTTGTAAAGATGGATGAAATATTAAGAAATGGTCTCCAAAAGTGAAGCCATTCATATTTTCTTCATGTCGGTAACGAAAAGTTATTCGTATATAAACAAGGATGATTACATTTGCGCTGTAATATTCTGTGTTACTCTCGAAGCGGAACGTAGTAAAGCAAAATGTAAAAATCGTTTTTTTTTTTTTAAATCTTCACAATTATATATATGGTTTTTTTTTAATGTGAGTATGGGGAATATTATTCGAGAAATTATATCGTTCGCACGATATAATTAATTATCTCGTTCTCACGACAAATTATCTCGTTCGCACATCAAAATGTTCTTAACATTTTTTTTTTTACTTTAATCTATGCAGACATTTTTATTTATTACCAATCAATACTGTGCGTTTTTATAGTATGAAATTTCTGTTAGAAATGTTTTGCCAATCATGAACAATTTAATAATAATTAAAAAAAATAAATGATAACAATAAGAAAAAATAAATAAAAAGGCTTTTAACTATTTTTTTTTTTTTAATTTTAGAACATTTAACAGCTATAACAATATTCAGCTTTCTATAATTGTGTTTAGAACCATTAAATATTTACATATCATTTGCAGTATGCACGTGCTCTATGAAATGACTTATACCTTAAAAGTTTTTAAATCTTTAATACTTAGGTCCGTAGAAATTCACAGTAGGGTGGTATATTTAGGACATGCAAATATTTTTAGCTCACCTGAGTTGAAAGTCAAGTGAACTTTTCTTATCACACTTTGTCTGTCTGTCTGTAAACTTTTCACATTTTCGACTTCTTCTCCAGAACCACTTGGCCAATTTCAACCAAACTTGCCACAAAGAATCTTGAGTAAAGAGGATTCAGATTTCTTTTAATGAAGGGCCACGTCCTCTTTCAAGGGGAAATAATTAAGAACTGGTGAAAATTGGTTTTCATTTTTTTAAAATTATCGTTTATCAAGAACAATTGGTCCAAAAGAATTGAAACTTATGTGAAGCCATAATTACAGGGCGGGGCCATCATGGGGGATCAACGTTATACATAGAAATATATAAGAGAACCCGGCAATAGAAGTGAAAGTCACGGCGGGTCTTTCAAGTACCACCTCAGGCTAGCTTAAAGACTGAGGTCCCTAAAGACTGAGGTCCTGTGTCACGGTAGGCGCTGGCGCGTTAAAGAACTCTCACTGCTCAATGGCCCTGAGTGCTGAGTATAGGTCTAAATTTGAAGCCATTCGCCAGCATACGATGACGTCTCTAAATGAGTGAAATATTCTTAAATGGGACGTTACACAACATAAAATCAATTAATAAATTTTAAGAACAGCAGGGCCACTATAAGTTTGATTTATATCAAAGCATTCGCAAATAGTGCAGGTTCAAGTTTGTTCAAATGTTACATGTAGCCTCCAGGGGTAAGATGCGGCCACAATACGGAATAAGAGTTTTACATGGGAATAGGTTAAAAAAAAATTAAAATGATGTAAAATTCTTATCAAGAATATTAGGGCCATATTAAGTCATGCATATTGATATGCAAATAAGTCATGTGATTTTTTTTTTTTTGAGAATTATGGACCCAGGGTTGGAGCTCAAGTTGGGGGTCAAATTTTGCATACTTTATGCATTCATTCAAAAAATCATCTCTAGAGAAGGGTCAAGATTACTCAGGTGAGTCTTGTGGTCCATGGGCCTCTTATTGTGTGGTTTTGAATCAGGCTTGTTCTTGTTATTAAATCTTAAAATATTCTTTAAAATTGAAAATATTCTTTTTTTTCTGATCTAAGCTGCTGTTGGAAGTTGTTGTTACCTTTTATTACCCCTATTTTACAGGAGATTTTTAACTTATTGCACCTCAGAAAATAGTTTTGTTTTTCTTTCTGAAACTGGGGTGGGGGTATCAAAGTATTTTATTTTGAATAACAATGCAAACCTAGCAAAAAAGCTGGCTATAAAGTGTTTGACTGTAGCATGTTTAATTTAATGTTTTTTTTTTCCATAATGGGTTAACAAAATAAAGCAATGGCTTCTTGGGCTTGCTATATACATTTGTTTAACTATTAGATGTTAATGCAAAAAAAAAAAATCCCTGGTAATATTAATTAATTATGATGACAGGTGCCAGTTTGTAAATGTAAATATGGAAGGTGTTAATATATTTCCTGATAGCATGGTTTACAGGTATTATTATTAGATTAAAAGTGATCACAAGCAATATATAATTGATTTAAATCACCTCAGGTGAATATATCCCTGATTACTAATGTTGAAGAAATGACCATGCAGATGGAAGTGAAAATAAATAAGAGCTCATTTGTATTCCACGTTATTACAAAAAGCTTTGAAATTTATCTTTTATCTGTATATAGCCTAATACATGTTAATGCTTTGTGAAATTCAATATTAATTTCTGAATCAATTGAATAATTGTTAATAAAATATCAAAACTTCATGGATGTAAAAATCTATACATGTTAAAGGGGTATTATAAACCCTGTATCTGAAAGTGCATATGATGTAAGATATCGCTGAAGAGAAAATCCCCAAAATACACGAGATTAACATAATTAATTTGTGTGATATGAACTGACATGGCTTGTTTTTCTGAAGATAAAAGGTATAAATGACAAGTAGAAAGGTAAAAGATCTGAATTTTCACTCTATCTTATACACTGCATGTCGGACCTTTTAGTAACATTAGCATATATTCAACAAAATAATAGTGTAAATGTCTCCTTAAATATGAAGATTATGTAGTCATGTACATGACCTCTATTTAATTAAGAGACTGTATTTTACAAACAACAAAAATTATTCTGACCTTTATAAACTTGTTTTCCAAAGCACTGAATTAAAGGGGAATAGTGATACATATTTTATCTACATAATTATAAAAATGTCAAAGTACATGACAAACAAAACATATCATCCCTTGTTATATCATATATAATTATGCCATTTACTTTAAGAATTTGTATGTAAATTATCCCTTTCTTTGTTCATTGATAAAACTGGACCAATTTCTATTACCAAACACTGTAACCAGACACTTCTGGTCAATTAAACTTAAATGCAGAACAGTAATGTACTAAAGTGTACCTGTATGTTTAAAAAAAACTAGACAGCTTTAAAAAGATAACAAGAAGCCCATGGGCCACAACGCTCACCTGAGTAACTGTGGCCCTGCTGTTCTTCACCAGATTTTCTCCCTCTTGTAATACTTATTGTGGCCCCACTCTACCCCCGGGACCTGAACAATTTAGAATCTTCAATACCTCAGGAAGCTTCCACATAATTAAGTTTCAGTGTTTCTAGCCCAGTGGTTCTTGAGAAAATTTTTAAAGATTTTTCCTATATATTTCAATGTAAAACGTTGATTCCCTATTGTGGCCCTACTCTATCCCTGGGGGTCATGCTCTGAACAATTTAGAATTTACTCTATCTCAGAAAGCTTCCAAATAAGTTTCAGCTTTTCTGGCCCAGTGGTTCCTGAGAAGAAGATTTTTTAATGACCCCACCCAAATTTTGTCTTTTCTTGATTATCACCCCTTGTAAGTGGGCTTGGCCCTTCATTTTAAAATATAAACTCCCCTTCACCCAAGGATGCTTTGTACCAACTTTGTTTAAAATTGGCCCAGTGGTTCTTGAGGAGAAGTTGAAAATGTGAAAAGATTACAAACGGATGAACAGACAACAAGTGATCAGAAAAGCTCACTTGAGTTTTCAGCTCAGGTGAGCTAAAAATACAGGAAGACCAATGAAAAAATAACTTCACATGAATATCATGAATTTGGTTTTAATGCTATAGAGATAATTCTGCAGCAAATCTTGAAACAAGAAGTCTGTGAGCCAATGCTCACAAATAATACCCCCGCTCTGATGTGAATACACAAGTTCAGTTATGGACAGACACAGTGATAATCAGGAAATTGACATCGGATTTGTACAAAAATGAATCCCAACATATGGCATGCCTAAACAAAGAGTGTGTTAAAATTTCAAGCACCTGCGATGAGTAGTTGCTGAGAAAACTGTGACCAAAATTTATTATGTATGGTACGGACAGATGCACAGATAAACAGGAAGTTGACATTGGATTTGTACAAAAATGAATCCCACCATATGACATGCCTAAACAAAGAGTGTGCTTAAATTTCAAGCATCTGCGATGAGTAGTTGCTGAGAAAACTACGACCAAAATTTGTTATGTATGGTACGGACAGACACACGGATAAACAGGAAGTTGACATCGGATTTGTACAAAAATGAATCCCACTATATGGCATGCCTAAACAAAGAGTGTGCTAAAATTTCAAGCATCTGCCATGAGTAGTTGCTGAGAAAACTGCGACCAAAATTTTTTAAGGACAGACAGACACACAGACAGACAGACACACAAGGGTAAAACAGTATACCCCCTTATCCTTCGGAGTGGGGGTATAAAAAAAATTAAAAACTGCACATATACAAACATATGCAGTAAAATTATGATATCATACACATACACAAATGTAGATATTTTACACCATTGAGGTATATAAACGGCTTGATTCCTAGCACAAAACCATTCCTTGTTCATACATGCTCTTTGCCACAAAACAATATTCTTTATTTAAAACAAAATATACAGAACTGAATATTTATAAACTGGGTATTGCACTTCACAAAATAACAGTTGTCATCATCTTTAAACATAAATTACAAAATGATATATATTACTCAGAAATAATAATGAATTTTTATGTATTCCTGAACAAAGGAAAGAAGGATTCAACAGACATTAGCATCCTCCCTATTAATTTTAGCCCCCTGCCATGGTTGTAGATTAAGGAGAACTAATTGGCTTCTTTTCTGTAATATCATGAAAAATCTTCTCTTTTTTTTCCCGAAATTCTTCCAAGTTGCTTGAATGTCAGTGCATTTCATTGAAACTTAGAACAGAGTTCCAAAAATAATTAATAATTACCGGTACCTGGAATGTGAAATAAAGAATTATAAACAATGTTTTCATGGGATTCTATGATTTTTTTTTCACACATTTATATGTAAAATGTATCATGGCTTTTTATAGACATAGATTTAGTACATTTTGAAAAACAAATAAAAAACCCCCTTTATTATCTTTATTCTATAACCTGACATAATTCATTGGCCAGTTTAGTTCTGACACATTTGTTATATTTTTAGCAGTACATTTTAATTTCAAAGCCTCTATGATTAAAATTGCATGGTTATAACAGCTAAAAGTTTTTGTAAGGTAGGAAACGTATTGTTTATGCAATGCTCCCAGAATACCGGTTCCTAAATATATTTCTAGAAAAGTTATGCCTAATGAGATATTCTTTAAAATAATTAAAGTGGAAATAAATAAAGAAAAGTAATTTACTTGACGAGAATCAATAAACTTCGAACTACAGGAAATGGTCTACATCACAACCAAATTGACCATACAGAATCTCTCAAACAAGTGTCATGACAAACAATTTAAAAATTAATACATGTACTGTATAATCTTTATGTAAATACACTGCATACATGTCTATTCCTCTATAACCATTCTAACAATGCATGATCCTCATAATGACCGACAGTTTGTTGTAATTAATGTTAATACTAATTTCCTCGAATACTAAGTAAGTAAGTAAATATTTTATTATTATTTAGTGACATGTGTCTTAATACAAAAAAACAATGTATAATTACAATATAATAGAATCTATATATATATAACACTGGGACAAAAATGATAAAATACAATATTATGATTGACACATAACTCAACAATAATTCATACAGAATCACTAACATCATATCACTTATCAAGCAGGTGGAATGTAAGTTGGGACTAACTTTATGTAAGAAGTCACCGAGGACTGATGGATTTCAGATTTATGATTAATTATCCATTTGTGAGTGTCTTGTTTCCATGGTGATTATTTCCACTGTCTGAATGTTCCCATGGTTTCACAGTCACTGAAAAGACACAATTGATAATTTTGAAACACTAACCAAGCACATTTTGTTTTATATTCTACCACCATAGTATACAATTATATCTATTACACATTTCAATTTGCATACATATATATATATACTTGCATGATTTCAACTTATATTCTAGCTTAGGTATTGGTACATTTATGTACTATAAACAAATTTCATTTGGTTAATTTTATACACAAAATATAATATTTCAAAGGTTCTGAATCCAATATTAACTCCTCTAGACTAACATGATTTGAAAATTTAGCTAAACAGTTGAAATTGTTTCTGGAAATTAAGGTGGTCATCAAAGGGCTATAACTGTAATGAATGCAGAGTTAAAAGTTGGGAAAAATAAAACTACATTTTTGATACAGACATTTTCATAATGTTTTCACATGATAACAAAAAAGCAAGTACATGTATTTGAGTATGCTAATATCAAAATGAGTAAATTCTGTTATCACATGTTTATCCCTTTATCCCACTGATATCACTTACTGGATCAATTAATTTTGCTCATATCCCACAAATTTGTATTCTGATGCCCCATAATGTCTAATTATAAGTAAATTCATGTGAGTGTATTTGAAAACATGGAAGATTCAATTAAATTTCAAATATTTTAACAAATTAAACTATTGAAATAACAGATCATATTTCAAAATAAGTGTAGCAGGAGAGAAAAAAAGATGAGACGGACCAGACCGGGATTTGAACCTGAGCCTGGTCCATCACATTTTTCTCCTTTCCTGTTACATTTGGTGTCATGATCAGGATGAGACAGGTGAAAGATCTGCCAGGGAAGAGCCTGGGTTGGTTTTCAGGGGTGAAGACCTTTAAGGAGGGAGGAATTTGGTGGTCAGACAGTTTTGATCATCAATGGCCAGATAGCTCAGTTGGTAGAGGCACCTTACTGGAGATTCAAGGGGCAGGGGTTTGAATCCTGGTCTGGTCCATCACATTTTTCTCTTTGTTTTCTATTACTGTTACACAACTTGTTGGATAAAAAAATCATCCAATCATAAACCATGGGACATCCTTTATTTAATTCTAATTTGCACAAAAAATTAAAACAAAATTTCAATCCCCTCTATTTTTCAAACAGCCTCAACTTAACAGATTACAAGTCGCTGTGCAGTGCAGGTGCAGGTTTCACACTAACAATGAATGCAGGTACTAGTTAGTAAAATCAAAATAAACTCTTTACTTTGAACACTTACTTAAGATGATAACCACGATGACTGCAATAATAACAAACACAACCAGGATTAAGATTAAGGTCATTTTGATATTGGAACAACACATTTTCCGTCGAAGACTTTTGGAACTTCTCTGGAACTGAACGGAACTGGACTCAAGGTCCTCTGGAATGGAGATTAATCATTTAATTATCAATCTATGCATGAATTAGAGTTGCGCCTCCAAAAAAACCCACACATTGTGAAAAATGTGAGACATCAGATTTCCACGTTTTATAGAAGAATTTATAATCAAAAATATATAAAGCTCTATTGCAAAGCACTTACCAATCAAAGTTTGATTCAGTCAAAGGACACATGTGTTTATGTGCATGTGTGTATGTGTGTGTGTATGTGTGTGTGTGTGTGTGTGAAAGAGAGAAAGAGAGAGAGAGAGTACCTGCTTTCTGCTGGATGTCATCTAGCTTATCTCCCCTTCTTAACACCTTGTCAACATTGTCCTTGAGAAGGGAGGTGACCTCACTCACCTCACCATCAAGCTGATCAAGACGGTCCCTACTATCTCTGCTTCTGCTCCTGATTCAGATAAATTTAACATAATTAAAACATACTTACAGTGATCTCATAAACTCATTAGAAGATCTAGTGGGATAAAGTTTTATGAAATGGCCCAAATTTGACTATATACATGTACCAGTACATGGGGGTGGGTTGGGGGTGGATACTTCACTTAGTATTACTGAAAATGAATATCTTTTTTCTGTTTGTACATTCATAAATTCAACATTCTGGTAGATTCTATTAATTTTTCTTAACTTCATAACTTAATTAGGAGTATTTATTTCTATGTTGTGAGTTAACTTAATTTATTCTGTAGAAACTGTTAGACACATCCAATTCAATTTTTATGAAATTACATTTTGGGAAAGGGCAAATTAAGTTTTTCAGAACTTGTGCCCAATCCCATTGTATGCATATTCATTGCCAACATACATGTGACAGAACTGAAAAATCACAACTGGAGATTTGAAATTTTTCAGCTGGAGTTTGGGTCTCAAAGCTGGAGATTTTTTATCGACATTTTTTTTCAAATCGCAAAAGACCATCCAACCCCCAAAATTCAGAAAAATATACCTTCTCCCAGTTTATTACTTTACAAATTTTATTTTATAAAGTTGTTGTCTAGTTTTAAGAAAAATATGATAAAGTTTTTATTCAAATGAAGTGAAATTGAGTATTCAATATGAAATCAACTCATTTCCTAGTAAATCAATTAAGAGTTAACAGCATCATTAAAACATTGGATAAAATTTTATTTTTGTATTGATATATCAACTAGTAAGTGAAGTAAAACATAGCTAGGTTTTATGTAACAAATTCTATGTCAGTAATTTGTTTTTAAATGGAATATGTACAGATGGAAAAAAGTACCCTCTTTAAAAAAATTAACAAATTTAGAGTCAGGTTTAATTTAGCAACACCCGGTAGTGTGATCTATTTTTAACTAGAGTGTGACCTACATTATAACTGTATCTTTTAATGACCAAAGCAGCATTAGAAGATGGTAACTGGGTATTTTAGCAACTACATGTAATTACAATGTTTTGCATTCAGTAATAAACATCAATGGTCTTTTATCAAGTTGATATATCCCTAATTTTTACAACATAATTATACGACCTCATGTTGATTCCTACGAAGCCTACTGCTGTGAAAATTTATTGCACTGGCGTTGTTACCTCAATTTCTTTTCATTCTAAGCAATTACATGAAACATGATAAAAAAAATATTGCAAATAATATTTAATTTGAAGAATTTTAAAACACGGAAGATTTAAAAATTAATCGGGAGGGGCGGAAGGGGGGGTGAAATATCAGGAGATTTTGTCTCCCGCCGGAAGAATCACATGTATGCATTGCAATAAAATATGTTCTAACCAAACCTGCCTGGCACCACAGCAAAATACTGTAGAAGTTTTAATTCAAATCAAATATTAGTACAAAATTACAAGTACTTTAATGTTTTGTCACAGTTTTTTTTCTGGATTGCTTACAAATATTTTTTTCTTCTTAAAAAAAAAAAAAAATAAATAAAGCACACAGTGTCACATCAATTCACTTATCATGATGCATAGTGGAGAGCTGCTTAACATTTACTGTGGTATACTACCAGGGCTCTAATTGTTGGCGACTAATTTAGTCACCATGGTTTCAAGAAAAAAAAGTAACCTCGAATGATTGATTCTTACTGCGGGGGGGGGGGGGGGGGGTGCTTAAAATCATCTCGTTACATTACTCTATGTTCTAAATATGATACATTAGCATATTTTAGTGCCAATCAAATAAATTATTAAATTGTGTACATTTATATTTCCTAGTGCCAGCTCCGCAATAAATGTTCGATGTATATGAGTGCGAAATATCACGTGCGCGTGCTCCAGTGTGCACAATCTCAGAAACAAAGGGAGAGTTGTGTTATTTTTGTCAGTTAATGAGTTATTGCTCATCATAGAGCTAACAGATGTTAAAGACTTCTCCAAGATCAAAGAGGAAAAACTCATATAAGGTTAAACAACATGTGTTATACTCACATATTCTGTGATTACTGACACAAATCACACTGACAGTACTTGCGTTTGATGATTAACAGTCGGGTGATAAGAGAAAGTGAAAGTAAGATTTAAGGTCAAAGTTCAACTGTAGTAATCATTTAATTCTTTTGTTAAAAAAAAAATATCGGATGTATCGTGTAATTGTTTTCTTTCAGTAAGAATAAATATAAAATCTTCATTATATGTTTCAAGTAAATGGAATGGTAAAATCAACTAAATAAATTTTACGACATAGCTCATTGATTTCCGGTACCTCCATGAGGATACTCTCTCTTTGGCGCGACTGAAATGTGGTTAGGTTGAGGGAGAAGTTGTCCCTCTAAACACAAAATTACGTTGATTAAGCGCCTTGTTATAGCGAAAAATGGATGCAGGAAAACTTGTAGATGTGTTAAGGGCCACACTGGACCCGAATCAAAGAGAACAAGCTGAAAAACAGTTGTCCGAGGTAAGTAATCCATTCGTCAGACACGTTATCCAAGATGGCAGACGTCATTGAGCACATGTGTAGAACTGCAAAATAATTTGATGAATGAAAACACCGTACTTAAAGTGAAAATTTGATTATATAATCAAAAATATGATTTATATTAAATTACATGTTACAATTTACTGTAATATATGTAGAATATGTTTGGCACTTTGCCAACATTACTAAGGCTGAAACCATGTGGTGATGGGTAAATTGTGATTGATTGTGGAATTCAATAACACAAATTAAGCTTACTGGCCAGATAATTTGTACTCTTAGAATGCAGTCAACTCTCTAATTTACTTCAAGAATTGTTTAGTATCGTGTTACAAAATGCATGTCCATATATTTTCTTCATTCTGGAATTCTAACTGGAAACAGATTTCACATGATGTAAAAGAACCTTCCGTTATTTTAGTATTGGTTTTTGATTACATTTGGTCACAAAATACAGAAGAATATAGTAGGAAAAGTAATCAGAGAAATTGTGATGTTAATTAAATCTTATTAAAAGGGGGGAAAATGTATCGATATTAAAGCCTTGAAACTGATAGTGTTCAATATATCTGGACCTGCTGACCTGTCAGGGTTCGGCACTAACGTTAGTCTGTTAGTCTCGGACTAATATATCTTCATTCGGACTAAAAAAATCTGTGGCCAATTAGTCCAAACAGACCAGTATAATGTTGTGATGATATTGTTTTACTTTACTATTTTATGCACTCTGAGTGGTCATAAAAATGCTGAAATTCAATTTTGGTTGCGCAACTATTTGCAATTAATAGTTTTCAATAGACTTCAATAGACTTGAATTTAGCAAGTCTAGAGTTATTTCCTGTTGGTCACTGTATTGGAGGTCAACATGCTCAGATTATTTCATTATTCAACCAATTTTTAATTTAGCATACTGGCCATTGTGGCAGGGTTTTCATTTCAGTAAAGGGCAGCAGGAGGTGATTTAGCATTATTTCTGAATGGTCTGAATTCACCACTTCAAATTTCATAATTGGCAAAATTAACTATTGGATTAGTGGAAATGATTCTAAAACAGATTCTTCAAATGTTCACTTCAAAATTATTGAAAGCCCTGTAGGGTATGGAAACACTGTTTTCTGAAGAATGTTTTAAAGCCTGCTTTAATTCAGAATTTTCATTTTATAAAGATTTTCCCCAAAATATTTCTGTTACATGTTTAAATTTGGTAAGAAAAAGAAGGAAAAACTCCAGTTGACCTCCAAGATGGCATCCAAGGAAAATAACTTGGAGGGAAAATATATACGAAAACTATGTATAATACGGTTATAATACCATTAATATACCTGGTATAAATATTTACTACAGAGGGATGCAAAACTATATATTAATTTTTGTCTTTGGTGAAAGATAACACTCTTTTTCTCTAATAGCAACCCTTCATTTAAGTACAAACTGTAAAAAATGAATTTTATCATCATCACATAATTTAGATGGAATATTCTTCAAAAATGGTTTACTCCATAGCTTTAACTTGGTTGGGAAGGGTGCATACTTTCGAAGTAATAACTAGTTAGCAAGTTAGTAACTAGTTAGCAAGCATAAAAATTGTATTTGCTTTTACATATTTTTCCATTTATTGTAGGTTCATAAAATTATAGGATTCAGTCCTATTTTACTTCAAGCAATTATGTCAGACCAACTGGACATGCCTGTCAGACAAGCAGGTAAATTTCTTAATGAACAAAGGACAATAGTGGACTAAAAGCAGTATGTTTTGTTGAATGTAACTGACAAATAAGGTATTTAATCAATGAATTGCAGGTGTCATTTATTTGAAAAACATGGTGACCCAGTTTTGGCAAGATCGAGAAATAGAAAAGCCAGGTGACCCAGTACCATTTTCTATTCATGAACATGACAGAGCTGCTGTGCGAGAACACATAATTGAGGCCATTATTCATGCTCCTGATCCAGTCAGGTAAGTTACTGTGGACATCATTTATGCTCTTAATCCAGGCAGGTAAGTTACTGTGGACATTATCCATGTGACCATGTCCCTGATTCAGGCAGGTAAGTTACATGACTTTGATCCCTCGATCCATTCAGATAATGTACTAAAGCAAAATGCAGCAATAGCAAGGTTTTGGAGACCTGTGAATTTACTTTACTGTTCCATAATTCATTATGTCCATATATATATATATATATCAAATTTTAAAAAAATATGTATAGTGAATTCACAATATGCATGTTTCCTTCAAATATGACTTCTGAATATGTTCAGGGAAAATATCAAATACAAAACTTGCCTTGGGGTATGAGAGTTTCCTGATAAATTGAATTTTTAATATAAATACTTATGAAAAATTATGTCAATTGAATATTTTCAATTTTGAGATCTTACAAAATCACTAATTTCATTATTTTAGCCTTTACGGGACACAAAATCAGTTTGCTATATCCATGAATTATTGATATCAGAGTTCATTACATCTGTAAATTTTTGTGAAGAATTGTTAAGAAAAATAAGTTTGTGAAAATGCCTATGAATCAGTTGAGTAATTTTCTTGAGGATACAATTCATGCCCAAATTCCAGTCCAAAAAAGTTTCTGAAAATATCTTTGGTCTGGTGAGGCCATGCATGTACCAATTTGCAATATAGTTCATCGGATTCTCCACTTCTATTTGTAACAAATCCAGATTATAATATTATCAAAAAAATATGTCCGCCCGTGCATCCAAAAATATCCGAGTACATTTTTTTTCGACTTATACACCAAATGCACAAAAGACTTCGGAACAAGTGGTTGAATGACAGAAGCGCGGGAGTGAGAAAGTTCGTACTTTGTAACTCATACTGTGTAACAATGTGTGAAGTTTTTCACGATGCCTGTCTACTCTTTATTTGTACGATATGTCAATAGTTGAAAACAGTGGATGTGATTTTTATGCCCCTCCATGAATATGGCTGGGCATATCAGTCTTCGAAAAATCCCGGGAGCTGGTAAAATTGAAAAGGGGCATGTGGAAATTGCATACTTACAGCCCGAAGGGCATGTAAATTCTGAGGCCTAAGCCTCCATATTATCAAATTAAATAATACTAATAACATAAAATGTACTTAAAAGTCTGATTTTTCATCTGAAGTTGAGCACCAAATAAAATTTTAACGATAGTTTATTCTACCGCAATTTTCAAGGAACTCTTTTGCAAAGGAGACACAAAAAGTGTACAGGTTGAAAACAATATTAATGGCAAGACAATAGATCGATAAAAATGGATTTCGGATCATTTCCTTGGCATGAAAAGGCAAATAAGAATAAAATTACTTGATAAAATTCTGGGCATGTAAATATTTGTTCGGGCTAGCATAATAAGTGGTTAAACCTGCCCAAAGGGCATGTACTGAAAAAAAGATCTGGCGAAGACTGGCATATAGTGTTTGTCATGTCTGTCCTTCTGTCACACTTTGCGTTTAGCTCTGTTCAAAGCTCAGTTTCAAACAAACTATCCAAGATATTTTTATCAAACTTCATATACTGATAGATATTGATGAGAGCTATGGAACTGCATCATTTTTTACCTTGGCCTTTCCTTTGACCTTGACCTCACTTTTCTTAAATTAGTGTTTGTGCAGTTTTAAAGATACCATTCAAGATAGTGTAATCAAACTTCATATGTTGATACATACTGATGTAAGCTATTTAACTGCTTCAACATTTTTTGACCTTGACCTTTCTTTTGACCTTGACTTCACTTTTCTTAAATTAGTGTTTAGCGCAGTTTTAAAGATACCATTCAAGATAGTGTAATATAACTTCATATGTTGATACATACTGATGTAAGCTATTTAACTGCTTCAACATTTTTTGAACTTGACCTTTCTTTTGACCTTGACCTCACTTTTCTTAAATTAGTGTTTCGCTCAGTTTTAATGAGACCATTCAAGATAGTGTAATCAAACTTCATATGTTGACACATACTGATGTAAGCTAATCAACTGCTTCAACATGACCTTGACCTTTCTTTTGACTTTGACCTCACTTTTCTTAAATTAGTGTTTAGCACAGTTTTAATGAAACCATTCAAGATATTTTAACAGACTTCATTAGCTGATACATACTGATGAGAGCTATTCAACTGCATCAATATTTTTTACCTTGACCTTTTCTTTGACCTTGACCTCACTTTTCTTAAATTAGTGTCAAACTTCATATACTGATACAAACTAATGAGAGCTATTCAACTGCATCAATATTTTTTGACCTTGACCTTTCTGTTGACCTTGACCTCACTTTTCTTCAAATTAGTGTTTAGCTCAGTTTTAAAGAAACCATTCATAATATTTTTATCAAACTTCATTTGCTAATACATTCTGATGTAACCTTTTCAACTGCATCAATAATTTTTGACCTTGACCTTTCCTTTGACCTTGACCTCACTTTTTAGCTCTTCTGAGCCAAAGGCTGAAAGAGCTAATGCTATGGCCATTTGTGCGGTGTGCGGTGTGCGTTAACTTTTTAGAATATGGGCCATAACTCAAGAACCCTTGGCCAATTATTGTCAAATTTGTCACAGGATATCCTTGGCCCAAGGGCTCCCTTTTATACTAAAACTGGGGTTGTGACCCTTTAACAAGGGGAGATAATTAGGAAAATAGAAACAAAAGTACTGGTTGCTAAAAAATCTTCTTCTCAAGAACCACTGGGCAGATTATCACCAAACTTACACAAAAGGATGAGGATATGTTGTAGATTAAAATTTGCACGGGGATTTACCCTGGGGCAAAGGGCGTGGTCTCAAGGTCACTTCAAAGTTGACCAAAAATTACATTTTATTAAAATGTTGATATTTTGCTTACTATAAGGACTAGGACCATCAAATCTTGTCAGTTGGTGCATCTAAGGACCTCATATCATGTTGACTCAAAAGTAGGTCATGGTGACCTACTTTTTAAATTTTGCGGCCATTCTTTTTCAAAATGATTTAGAGGCATATTTTGAACAATTTAAGGCCTATGATCATCAAACTTTGTCAGTTGATGCATCTTGGGTCCTCAAAGTACGTCAACTAAAAAGTAGGTCACCTTGACCTACTTTTTGAATTTTATGGCTAAACTTTTTTAAAACAATTAAGGTCATTAATTCGAATACGGGGAGGCTTAGAATCATTAAATCTTGTAAGATGATGCATCTTGGGGCCATAAAACATATTTATTAAAAAGTAGGTCACAGTGACCTACTTTTTGAACTTTGCAGGCATTTGATTTCAATGCGTTTTAGAGGCATAATTTGGACATTTTAAGTCCTATGATCATAAAACTTTGTAAGTTGATGCATCTTGGGTCCTCAAAAAAAGTCAACTGAAAAGTAGGTCACTGTGACCTACTTTTCAATTTATATGACTATAATTAAATATTTCAGGTACTAATTGGCTTAGAATCATCAAACTTTGTCAGTTGATGCATCTTGGGTCTTCGGAGTAGGTCGACTAAAAAGTAGGTCACAGTGACCTACTTTTGAAAATTTATGGCGTTAATTAAATATTTCGGGTACTAATTGGCTTAGAATCATCAAACTTTGTCAGTTGATGCCTCTTGGGTCTTCAGAGTAGGTCGACTAAAAAGTAGGTCGTGACCTACTTTTGAAAATTTATGGCGTTAATTAAATATTTCGGGTACTAATTGGCTTAGAATCATCAAACTTTGTCAGTTGATGCCTCATGGGTCTTCGGAGTAGGTCGAGTAAAAAGTAGGTCATGGTGACCTACTTTTGAAAATTTATGGCTTTAATTACATATTTTGGGTACTAATTGGCTTAGAATCATAAAACTTTGTCAGTTTAAGCATCATGGGTCCTCGGAGTACAACAACTGAAAAGTAGGTCACGGTGACCTACTTATGAAAATTTATGGCTTTAGTCAAATATTTCGGGTACTAATTGGCTTAGAATCTTTAAACTTTGTCAGTTGATGCGTCTTGGGTCCTCGGAGTACAACAACTGAAAAGTAGGTCACCGTGACCTACTTTTGAAATTTTATGGCTGTATTTAATATTTTTAGGAATTATTTGGCTTAGAATCGTCAAAATTTGTCAGTTGATGCATCTTTGGTCCTCGGAGTAGGTTGACTGAAAAGTAGGTCACCGTGACCTACTTTTGAAAATTTATGGCTGTAATTAAATATTTTGGGTACTTATTGGCTAGAATCATCAAACTTTGTCAGTCGATGTATCTTTGGTCCTCGGAGTACAGCAACTGAAAAGTAGGTCACGGTGACCTACTTTTGAAAATTTATGGCTTTAATTAAATATTACAGGTACTAATTGGCTTAGAATCATCAAACTTTTGCATCTTGGGTCCTTGGAGTAAAACAATTGAAAAGTAGGTCACTTTGACCTACTTATAAAATTTTATGGTTATAATTTTAAAAAATATTTTAGGTATTAATTGGCTTAGAATCATCAAACTTAGTTGATGGGTCTTCAGAGAATGACAAGTGATAAGTAGGTCACCATGACCAACTCTCAGGTACTAATTGGCTTAGAATCATTTTGGGTTCTCAGAGTGTGAATTGGAATTTCAAGGGTTTATCTAAATATACAGGATACTTCGAGGCTTCAAATAGAAGTGATAGGTTGTACAGTTTATCAGAAGAGCGATTCAAGGCCCATGGGCCTCTTGTCTTAAATTGGTGTTAAACTTCATATGCTGATACATACTGATTTAAGCTATTCAACTGCATCAATATTTTTTCACCTTGACCTTTCCTTTGACCTTGACCTCACTTTTCTCAATTTGTGTTAAAATGTTGCATTACTAATATACCCTGGGCGGGGCATTCATGTCTTATGGACATATTTCTAGTTTTCCTTATACTGCAATCGAACTAGAAGCCGAGGAAACTTTTGAAGCGCTGTTCAATGTTACTATAAAGAGACCATCGAAAAGTCCATGAAAGGTTTGGTGAATATTGATGATGCTTGCTCTATCAAAATTAGAAAAAAAATCTACATGCGATGTAATTGAGATTTCAAGACTGGACATGACAGGAATTTGCACGGAACTGAACAGAACGTTTGTAGAAATGAAACTGAATTGCAATGTAACAAGTACCTCATTCAAAACATGACAAACAGAAAGTAGAACACGTTTTCACGTTTTATGAATGCTTCCAAAAATTATTCTCTCCCTGGAAAAATTACAGGCAAATGAGACCACAGAATTTATTTAATGATTTGACAGAATGGGCAACAAATTGGAGAGGAAATTCTTCAAAAAGACCTTATTTATTGTAGCAAATCATTACTTGTTATGAAAATAAAGTCTTTGAAACCTTAAACTTTTTATTTATTGAAAACAATTAAGGGTGCAACGATAAACCGTTTGACGGTATATCGTGGTATATTTTTCCACGGTTCAATTCATGATACGCTAAACTGGTATCGCGGTTCGGTTCGATCGGTCCAGAATTATCCGAATCGTCCGTTTTGTTTCCTTTGTTACAATTTCAAAATGGCTTCCGCGCAAAACGTGAGGTCGCCGATAACGCATTTACGGAAGACGGAGAAGGACTTAATGTGATTATAAGTTATAGATGTTAAGACAAATGATAAATCCTTTAGATCTAAACGTATTCTTTGGTAATACACGATATTTCATCACGTGTGTTCACTGTCTTGTTGACTAAACATGTTAACACGAGAAATATGACAACTGGTTTTCTACGTAAATAAAAGGAATAAAAGAATGAATGTCTTCCCTTTTCATTCCAATTTAAAACGAAGATTATTAGGAAAGGCCCCCGTAGTTCCCTGTAAATGTTCATCATTGGTTTAGAATATTGTCAAAACTCAAAGATCTACCCAACAATCCAATTCAAGTTAACAAAATTTTATTCTAATTATTATTAAAAAAAATATGAACATTTTATATAACCCTGTCAAGATTAAAAAAAATATGATGACAAACTTGAAAGACTTTTTAACCTTGTATCGTGATACGTATCGTATCGTGAACTGAATACCGTGATACGTATCGAACTGTGATGTTAGTGTATCGTTGCACCCCTAAAAACAATATAAAAAAAGTTAAAAATCATAGTTCATGTGGTATACAAATGATATCTAATGATTATAAGTCTTTATTTTATAAGCGCTCACTCTTTGAAATCATACTTCATTTATTAAAAAAAAAATTATATTACTTGTATTCGCTCGCCTCATGATTTTTAACTCCAAAATTAAAAATAATATTAGTAAAATTATTTTGCCCTCTGGCCTCACTTCTTATTTTTGAAAATCCAAGGAACTATTCACAAATTGGTGGGGCCTGAGGTAAGGCGATACATCAAAATTGATCCTCTGGTGATGTAGCTAAGAATCATGCATAATGCAGCTAATACAGTCATATATGCTGGTGTGTTTCAGCATATTAAAGAAAATTCATATTCATAAAAGCTAATTAGGGCCCCGCAAGAATTTGCAGATGCCCTATAGTAATCACTCTGTCTGTCTGTCTGCCCGTCTGTCTGTCTGTCTAGCTGTCCATCTGTCATTCTTCCGTCCACAAATTTTCTGTTTTTTTCTAATAACTTTTTTTAGGGTTGACCAATTAAGTTCAAATTTGGTATGTTGGTTGAATAGACAGTAAGACACATTTTGATGCATAGTTTGGTTCTCTATGTCATCCGCTTTGGAGCTGGGGTGGTGGGGTAGATTCCTTAACTTTATATAAGAGTGAATGGGCAAAGAGAGATAACTGCTGAGAATGTTCCTATTATAAACTATGAAAGGCTGCAATGAGTCTCTTGGGATTAATTAACTTTCCTCTTGAAGAAAATCCAAAGCATTTATCTTTATCTGTCACATTGAGATTAATTAACACCTCTGTCTGCAAATGAAGTTGTTTTGAAGTTAACGTCATTCTGAATGATGTTTACATTCTCTGAAATGTGGATTTAAATAATGTTCATACTTTATTTTGGTAAAATACACAAAGAGTTGTGATTTTATTGAATTCTAAAAACAAGATATGGAGATAAAAAGATATTTTTTTTTATATTTTTATATTATTTTTTTCTTTTTCTTCTTTCTTTCTTTTTTTTCTGCCTTATGTAAATTCAAGAATACTATTTATCTTAACAGGTATTCAGATAATAACCTCATTCTATCATTGCTAAAAAAGTTCTTATTGTAAACTAAGAAGAAAAGGTCAAGAGAGCAGTATAATTAATCCCTTGCGATTAATGATTATCTTGCTGGCTGCAGAAAACTTTTGAGGGTTATTTTTCTGTCACTTTAAGATTAATTAACACCTTTGTCTGCAACTGATGTTTGTTTTGAAGTTAAGATCAAGCCTGGGTGATATTTGCATTCACTGAAGGCTGGCATTTTAGAAAACACATGCTTCATTCTTCTTTAAATATACATGTAACTAAGTTATTATAGATATGATGTTTTTTACTGCCTTATGTAAGTAGAAGGATACTATTTACAGGTTGTTGGATATTTAGCAGTTGCTGTTGCTTATTCTTCATTATATATATTTTTAAATTTTTGTAATCAAGTAAAATTCTCATCCCCTAATCTGCATCCTTATATTTCTACCCCTTGGCGGGGCCCTTGCTGACTGGTCAGATTTCTAGTTATCTTTCAAAATATTTTTTTGTGTAGAACAATGAGGAAACTGATGCAATTTTGAATTTTTCCATATGTTTGTTTTCAGAGTTCAGCTATGTGTGTGCATCAGTCATATGATAAAGCATGACTATCCAGGACGCTGGCCAAATGTTCCAGAGAAGATCCTGCTGTACATCCAGTCAGACAACCATGCTACGTGGATGGGGGCGTTAATGTGCTTGTATCAAATGGTCAAGGTCTATGAGTAAGTTCTGATATGACAAGGATTGAATACTATCATTCACACTTTATGAATATTGAAGGCCCATGCTGATCCCTTTTTTTCTGTGAATTGTGATCCTAAATGGAAAGCAGATCATAAGATAACTTACATGTTGAATTTTTCTCAATAGCCAAATAAATTCAAGGCCGAAACAATATACAGGTAATAGCTTTGAAATAATGAAGTTTGGTTTGTGATACTTAAGGTACAAGAGACCTGATGAAAGAAAAATCCTGGATGATGCCATGGGAGTGATTTTACCAGTTGTGTATCAGCGTCTTGTTAGCCTCATGCCAGATGAATCGGAATATTCAGTGCTTCTACAGAAACAAATACTTAAAGTGTTTTATGCTTTTGTTCAGGTACTTCTATGAAAAAGTGTATGTCATTGAGTATATCTTAGTTCAGATGAAATATTAAACCTAGAAAGTACTTACTTGATGTCTTCTAAATCTCAATTCAAACAATTTAAACAGTTTCAGTTAATGTTTACAATTTAAATTGATTTTATGGGTATTGATAAATGTTCTTCCTGATATTACAATTTATGTTTTTTGTATCGTAGAATTATCTGCCCCTTGAAGTTTTGACTCGAGAGGTTTTCACCCAGTGGATGGAGGCAGTCAGACAAATAGTAGACAGGCCCGTTCCTGAGGTATGTTGTAAGGTTACTCTTAAAACAATGTGATTAACATTAGTATTGTACCCTGTCAACTCAGCTCAGTGATTTTCTGCAAATTTTTGAAGCTACTGTTCAATCAATTATTACTGTGGGGTCAATGTTTCTTGGTTTGAGGAAAAACTATTAGTTCATTGGGATTTGATTTTATGTTTGTAAAAGTCAACAAGGTACTGTATTTTGAAATTTTCACGGGGACCAGAATTCTTTGGTGTCTTAATTAATACCATAAAAACAAAGAAAAATCTCCATGAAAATTATTACTTTAAAAGTATCTTGTTGCTCTTCATTGGAAATTCAATCTATATTTGGAAAGATACTCAAGATTTTTGTATAACTAGTATTTATTGAACTTAAATATTAGATGTGGAAAATTTTGATTTTAAATTTTGCGCCATTCAGTTGCTTAATAGTTTACTACATGGTAACTGTTTATGGAATGGCGCAAGATGAAAACTCATTTTTTAACTCCCAGCTATTATGTATTAGTAGTTGGTATAAGGGGATGAGGACATCCATGTAGCTTAATTACAAAGGCCTAAGAAGATTGAGAGTATGATAGCTAAGTCATTGATAAAGCAAACCATTCTTTGTCATTTACAAAGCAAACCAATCAAATAGATGTTGAGGATCGCCCAGAATTGGCATGGTGGAAGGTAAAGAAATGGGCTGTTCACATCCTGGCCAGAGTGTTTGAGAGGTATTGAAATACTTGTATATTCTCTTGGTGAAGTTTTCAAGAACTTAAACTGGTCACAGTGACATTTTGTTTTACCCTTATTTCAATTATTTTTAGATACGGAAGTCCTGGAAATGTCACCAAAGAATACAATCAGTTTGCAGAATGGTACCTGAAGGCTTTCTCTGGTATGGACATTTTAAAGTTCTTTTCAATTGTGAACAAATTTTCTGTCTGCAAGCATGCAAATTGTTCTTGTGGCTTACTTTTTGCATAAAACTTAATTTCTATTTATCAAATTTTAGGAGGAATCATACAAGTTTTGTTTAAGGTATTGGACCAGTACAGACAGAAAGCTTACGTAGCACCAAGAGTTCTTCAGCAGTCTATCAACTATCTCAACCAGGGGTAGGTAACAAAAAGTTTGTTAAAAACATCTCTGAAGTACTTGTAGTACACATAAAAGCATATACTGTGTTAAAAGGGGGGGGGGATCTTTGCTTTCAAGAGAAATGAATAATGTACAATTATTGTTGTCAAATTATCATTACTTTGAAGTATCAAAGTGCATTTGCAGGCTTGATATACTGCATGCATATTTGTATAAACTTGTATATTGGAATTAGCTCCACTTTGTTTTGTAACTAATACATAACTATATTTATAGGGTTAGTCATGCATTCAGTTGGAAGTTCATGAAACCACACATGCAGGTGAGTTTATTAAAAGAAATGTTTTCTGTTTTTAAGGAAGACCAGTTTCCATGTTTTGTGTTTATTGTTACTGCACTTTTATATTCTGTCAGAGACATTCATGATCTGGTATTTATCAAACAAGTGCTAGATCAATTTTACTGATCATAACTCCCATTTAGTCCCCTGACTTTTGGTTTTAAATTCAGTATACAGCTGAAAGTTTGGTTCAACTCCTGCAATTGTCATTGAAAATTCATGAAAATGTGTTTATGATGTTACTGTATTACATTTAGTATTTTGTGATGTTTAGGACTGTCACAGTTGTGTGTGTTCTGTGTGTTCAGTACTATAGTTTCTTGACTGCATATGCATGACATTTTCAAATTTATATATACTTTCAACTGTACATGTAAATTAAATGAAGTTTGAACGACATAATTGGGAAAGCAAATATTAAGAAAATTAATGTATACATATTGACCTTTCTGCACTTAATCTGCTGGCAGAGATGTGTATGATCTGCTAAGTTCGTACAAGTGCTAGAATAATCTTACTGATCATAACTCCCATTTAGTCCTTTGACTTTGTGGTTTTAAATTCAGTATACAGATGTACAGACAGTGAAACTTGTCTAATCCAGATGTTGTGTATTCCTAAATCTTGCCTAATATGATGTAAACTTGAAGTCTCTCTCAGTGAAGTCCATTGTTTGAAATGTTATTTAATCCTGAATGTTGTCTAATCCAGCCAATTTCTGTGGAATCAGTTGTGATTAAACAAGTTTTACCTATATTAACTTAAGTTCAAATCGGTGGAAGATGATGGCATCTATAAATATTGATTCGAAGGCTTTAATTCAGTTAATATTTATCTATTATAGAAATCTTTATTACAATACTGGTATGTACTTTCACTTGCAGGCCCTAGTACAGGAGGTGATATTCCCTCTGATGTGTCATAGCGATGAGGACGATGAACTCTGGAACACTGATCCTCAGGAGTACATCAGAATCAAGTATGGTAAGTCTGTAGAGAATATCAGAATAAGTATGGTAATTCTGAAAAAAAAAAAGATTCCCAGAAGTACATGTATATTTGATGCAAGTATGGTAAGCCTGGAACATTAATCCCCAGGAGTATATCGGAACCAGATTTACCATTCCTACATGTATGTCCTTAAAAGAGACGGTCTTCTGCAGGTCAGGAAAATGTACAAGTTGTTGCTTGAAATTAAACAGAATTGTTTTTGCTGAGGGAAAAAAAAGACTATTCTGCTTGCAATTGTATGATCACAACTCTGTTTTGTAATTTGCTACCTAACCTGTGCCAAAGACTCAATTTATGAAAAAGACCAAAGATTTCCTGGTCCTCTTCCTTTCTTTCTTACTTTTACTGGGCATTCTATACCGAAAAGCTTAAAGTCAAGTCAGTGCCTGAAGTTGATGCAAATGTTTCCTCTAATGCTGATGAAGACATGTTGTATTATGGAGCTACCAGAGTTGATCAGATGTTGATTGACTTTGCTCAAAATAAACTCTTCTATAAGTCATTGTAGTAAATTTAGTACCTAAGTGCGAATGATGTAGGTTTGAAGATTGGATTTTGATACAGATGAGCAATATGGTCCACCTCTCTTTTCTTTCTGTAGATGTTTTCGAAGATTTCCTGTCCCCCGTAATTGCTGCTCAGACTTTGTTTTATTCTGCTGCCTCGAAGCGTAAGGAAGTGTTGCAGAAGGCCATGGGATTCTGTATGCAGGTCCTAACACAACCACAGGTCAATCCTAGACAGAAAGATGGGGCTCTTCACATGATCGGTGCTGTGGCAGAAGTCCTTCTGAAGGTGAGTCAATCATATACATGTAGTTAATTTTCTTAGCACATGAGTAGTATGTGATCACTATATAAAATTGGTCAGAGTTTCTTTATTGAAATTTAAAGTAATTATTTTGAGAACTAGTGAATGATGAAAATATTGACTGATACTGATGATTAGATCAGTTCAAACACTCTAATTTTTTTCTGAGTCAGTTTTCAAAATAATTCTGAACTACATGTTTATTCCTCTACTTCATTTTCAATTTAAGTATGTTTTGTATTTATGGGAAAATTTGTACTATATAACATTATTGTTTGAATGCAAATTGTCTTGGGAATTTTAGGGGAATAATACCAATTTCCTGGGTATCAGAAAGCCAAGGCATTCTTCGGTAAAAGAGTTCAGCTGGTGTTACACAGATTCCTTCTTGTTTAGTTCTGTTTATTTAGTTAATGTTAATTGTTTTTACTGTATTACATGTATATATAAATGTAATGTTTTTGTTGCAACTTGAAGGAAAAAAAACCCCACATTTAGTATTTTGAATTCTGTTGACTAATTGTTGGTTTTAAACTAAGTTTTATTGTTTAGATGTGAAAATTTGTCCAGATGACAAATGGCTTGATGAAAAAACTTAAATACTAGGAGAAGCTTGAATCATTTACTATTTGAGAACAGCATACTAAATTTCTCATTAACTTTGTTTTATAGAGAAAAATATATAAAGACCAGGCAGAAATGCTGTTGGCTACACATGTTTTCCCAGAATTCAACAGTGAACATGGCTTCCTGAGAGCTAGGGTAAGACTATGCTATACATATATGCACATGTTTGTTTTTGGCAGCTTCTTTTGTTAGTTTTATTTTGGTACAATAGACATGTTATATGTAGATTTTGATTCTTTTCAGTGTATTTTTCATAAGTTTACTTAACATTGCAGGCTGCATGGGTGCTGAAGCATTTCTGTGAGCTGAAGTTTAAGAATGAAAATAACTTAAAAACAGCTTTAGAGATGGTGCGGAATAGTTTGTGTTCAGACAAGGAGCTTCCTGTCCGTGTAGAGGCTGCTGTAGCTCTGCAGGTCCTTCTGGTAGAGCAAGAAAAAGGTATACTGGCTAGAAAGGTCACCATTATGTAGAGTGTTGATATTCAGATAGGTGCATCTGTTAATCATTTTGTAGAGGAAGTCTTTCATCACTTTTGCTTTCTTTTGCAGCCAGAGATTTTATCCAACCATTTGTCAAGCCAATTTGTTTAGGTGAGTTGATTTCTCAGTGTGAAAGCTGAATATACTGAAATATATTCCCCATAAAAATATGATGTAGATAAGAAATGAATTAACTTTAACTTGTGTTAATTTTATAGAACTGTTGAAAGTTATACGAGAAACAGAAAATGATGACCTTACCAGTGTGATGCAAAGAATTGTGATAACATTTGACAAAGAAGTTACTCCACTAGCTGTAGAAATGATGACACATCTGGTTAGTCTTATAGTCCATTCTCAAAATGATTACAGGGATTTATCAGTACCTTCTCAGGGGCCGAAATTCGGCCCCATTCCCAATTGAAAATGAGCTCAATTTTTCCCAATTTGGCAGTATTTTTTCCCAATCGGTAAACAATGCTTTTATATTAATTATCTTAGGGGAAAAACTCAGTAAAACTGTCAGATTGTCTGTAATTTTCTCTATTTATCTCATTTAGCAAAGCCAAATGGTCATAACACATGTTTAAAAACACTGTAAACATCGCCGACTTTTAATCCGAATTTCCTCTGTTTTTCTGAAAATGGTGATATTGTGTAATAATATAGATTTATTAAGTAATTTCCACCTACTCAATTGATCTACGAGTGAATGGTAAGAACTGTAGGCATTATTTCAGATGGAAAAATATATTTTCAATTCATTTTAAAGGGGACTTTGAAAAAAAGTGTACTTGGTATAATTTTTTGCAGGAGGTTTATAATCTCCAGAAACAGATTCTAATGACTTAAATTGGAATCTCATACACACATGTACTACCCTGAGTTGTATAAATACTTCATACTCATTGAAGTCAAATTTAGTTTAATCAGTCTATTGTTCATAATTGATCTTGTATGATAAAGTTGGATCATTTGTAATTGTCTGTTAATTTGGTCGCCCAAATTAGATTTCATGCTGAAATGTTAAATGAATTACAGTTGAATACATGACGATAGCAAGATTTTTTATTTTTCCCAATTTTATCAAATAGCCGATAATTTTTTCCCAATTCCCTAAAAATGGCGTTTCCCAAAATAGGCTGATAAATCCCTGGATTAAGATTTGAATATTCTTAAATACAAGTAAATTACACACAAAATGCATATACATGAAATACCACTATTGTTATGTGTCAAAATACACACTTTATGCGACAGAGTACATGTATACTTTTTGGAAGGATTTGAGCTAATGTTTGTACAGTAAGGTTCATATAGTTTTTAAATTCAACATTTGTACAGTAAGATTCATACTAATTGTAGGCTCAGACTTTTGCTCAAGTAATAGAAGCAGATATGGACAGCTCTGAAGAAAAAGCCATTACTGCACTTGGTATCCTAAATACCATGGAAACCATTCTAAATGTCATGGAAAACCAAAAAGAGGTATGTATATGTACATGCTCAGTAATACAGATAATTATTCAGGGTTTAAAATGTGGGTTTCTTGTTAATTCCTCTGCATAGAGACAAACTTTTTATAGCTTAGATGGCAACCTCTTTATTTTTTGTCTTTCAGATTTTGACACAGTTGGAAGGAATTGTATTGAATGTTATAGGAGTTATCTTACAGAAAAATATAATGGGTAAATATTTTCTCACAAAAAGTTTGTTTTTGGGGTAAAATGCATAATTAAGGAGTTTGTATTGTTTTCTTCAAGAATAAGAAATGAATTTATTCAGAAAAGCATGTTACCTGTGTGTTGTTTTATCCCTGAGCTCTGTTTATATCTGTTTTATTTACAGACTTCTATGAGGAAGTGTTGTCTCTGATCTACAGCCTGACCAGTGCTCAGGTGTCTCATCACATGTGGCAGGTGTTTGGTATGTTATACGAGATGTTCCAGAAGGATGGCATCGATTACTTTACAGGTAAGCTGGTACCGTATTGTCTAAAAGTTTCACAATAGTGAAAGATGACATAATTATGTAGGCTGGAACTGATTAATGATGAAAACAACATCTGATCTTACATGATTTTATCTCAGACACTCTAATTTTTTTCTGAGTCAGTTCCAGTTTATTTGTTTTGTATGCAGTTTGATAGAGTCATTCAAGTTTGATAAACTTGAAATGTATTTACTGATTTTAGATATGATGCCAGCCCTTCACAACTACATAACAGTGGATACCCCTGCTTTCCTCTCCAATCCTGAACACATACAAATCATATACAAAATGTGTAAACAGGTACTTTATACATGTATTGTTGTTCAACAGTATGAATGTGTATACATGTAAATCACATACAAAAGTGGAAACAGCTATAATAATGTCAGTGACTATTGTATTAAAAAAAAAGAGGGGGGAGGGGGTCTGAACAACCAATATCAGAACGATGACACTGTAGACTAATCATATTGTTAACTGACAATGCTTGATCTCTGCTGATGCTCGTTTCCATTGGTTTGATAATAGGTGATGTCAGCAGAAATAGGAGAAGATGCTGAGTGTCATGCTGCTAAACTGTTGGAAGTTATTTTATTACAATGTCCTGGACAAGTGGATCAGGTATAGTATTCACATGTACCTGTACTTCAGTGGTGATTTTGTTCCATTTTGAGGTCAGACTAGACATTCCTTAATAATATATAATTTTTCCCAAGAACTTGTGATTGAATTATTGCTACTTTCCCCAGTTTTCCCACAAAAAAATTTAGGTACATTACCAGGCAGATGTAAAAAGTACCTGAGGATGTTATTTCCTATATATTCCTATTGGATATCTGGCAGTTGAATTGTTGATATCACAGTTTTATGATGGTTTTAACTCTTAAGACATTTTGAAAACACATGTTCACTTTTGATGGTGTTCATAATTATAATGTGATGTGACATTGAACATCTATCATAGGGTTCATCATCTTTTTGTCAGACGATGATTGATTTAATAATGTTTTTTTTTTCTTGTAGGTTGTGCCATCTTTTGTAGAACTTGTGTTACAGAGATTGACTCGTGAAGTTCTGACCTCTGAATTACGGACAATGTGTTTACAAGTTGTGATTGCGGCCCTGTATTATAACACTCCTTTATTGTTGGACACTTTAACTAAATTACAGATAGACAATATCACAGGATCTATATTAGAACAATTCTTAAAACAATGGCTTCATGATGTAGACTGTTTCTTAGGGTAAGTGTTTTCAAGAGAATTTGGTTATACATGTATGTATGACAAATTCTGCATAGAAATAGCAGATGAGCATAAATAAAAAGAAATGGATAAAAAGAGGAAGTTGAGTGATGAAAATCACAAAATGATCAGGATGATTTTAAATGTTAATCACTCTAATATTTTTCTCTGATGACTTCCTCTGTAAATGCCTATTTCTTGATTTCGGTGATTATTTAACTTTACGTGTACTTAAAGCTTTTCTTTTGATTTCAGGTTACATGACAGGAAAATCTGTGTTTTAGGTTTATGTTCATTAATTAACATGGCAGGAAATCGACCCCAAGAAATAAGTAGTGTTGGTCCTCAGATCTTGCCAGCTTCTCTTGTTTTGTTCCAAGGCTTAAAACGAGCATATGCAAGTGAGTGTTTCTGATCTCTCTTTACGTTTTAGTGTATGTTGTTGGAAATCAATGTGATTAAAACCTACATTGTAAACAATATCTGTCAAATATGGCTCTGTATATGGTATCAATAGTAAACAAAACAAGATTGAAATAGTGTTGTAATGTGGTTTTTATGTTACCAGGCAAAGCTCAAGAGGAAAATGAGGACAGCGATGATGAAGATGAGGATGACGATGATGAAGTCAATGGTAGGAATACTTCACTGATGATGATATTTACTTGTTTTAGTGCTGTGAATATTTTGGGATTAGTTAGTGTAATCTTTATTTACATGTAGTTAAATGTGTAGCGGTATTTACATGTACATTTATGTGAACTAATCATTTGGTATTGATCTTGAATTAGTGGATAAAGAACAGCAAAACTGGTTTAAATTTAAATCCTGCTTTAGTACATATTATACATTGTATGTCAATAGAACATTTAGATAGTGGATTAAAACCATTTGAAAATTGCTGTATATAACTGAATGCCTCTTCCAAGATTTAACAGTCAAGCTTTGTTATAATTCCAGAGGAACTTGCGAGCTCAGAAGATGAAATAGATGAGGAAGGAGCTCAATATATAGAAAAATTAGAAAAAGCAGTGAGTAAACTTTTTCTTCTAAGAAAAGTTAAAGTATTACCAAATCAGTACAAGCCATGTACATAAATCAATCAGAGAAGGATGTTGTAATTGTTATCATGTAAAACCATTGTCACAATGATTCTGTCATCATTATTCTAGGCTAACAATGAAGATGACGATAGTGATGGCGAGTACACAGACGACGGAACAGAGGAGACAGCTCTCGAGAGTTACCAAACTCCGCTGGACGAAGACACCTGTCCAGTAGATGAGTACATGATCTTCAAAACCGTTCTATCAAGTAGGTTCTTTCTGTGAAATGTTGGAAGATAAGCTTTACTTTAATACATTATAAATGGAGGATTCCTATAGTAATTTTAAGATTTGACATCCAGGCGTTGCTGTATAGGGGGTTATTTTTGCCCCGTGTTACTTTCTTCTTTTCACACTTGCAAACAATTTCACCCCTTCCAAATTTTCCAGACGAAGCTGTGTTTTAATGGAGGTAACTGCCCTATTTGAATTTGCCCAGTTTTGAAATTGAAAAGGAGTTGAAAATTCTGTACATGTAGGTGTGCTAAATTTGTTACCCTGCTGCAGTAGAGTGTAGACTGACAAGATTGTGGTGAAGTTGGAATATGTACTATTTCAGTTCTCTCTATTAATCAGTTTTTTTTTAAAGACATTGTTTTGTTTACATTACAGACCTCCAGGGAAATGACCCTAACTGGTACAACTCTCTGATCAGTCAGTTAACCGAGGAACAGAGGAAAGAGGTGGAGGAAGTCTTTAAGCTGGCAGAACAGAGGAGAGCAGCTGCTGGTAGGTCAATCAGACTGTGGACTGTAGTCCTAATTAATACAAGAGAAATATATATAGAGTGTAAATGTAGAATGCATTGCAATAGTCACCGTTGGTCAGAGGCATAATATGGCTTACATTAAATTTTATCACAAGCAAAATATAAATCACAGAAAATGGGCAAAGTGTAGTACAGAATGGTTATTTAATATCAAGGTGAGGTATAAATTTCATGTATGACTTGCAAGTCAGAAAACAAGCACTTGTTACATAGCTTATAATCAGATCACAAACTGTAGGTAAAAAAAATTGTACACGGTGTACCTGTAATTGTCATGGCTCTTCCAGTTATAGATACAGTCCCTGAAACGTTCTACTTTCCCACTTGAACGGTGAGCGAACGGTGAACGAACGCTGAACGAACGCAGAGCGAACGGTGAGTGAACGATGTGTGAACGCTGAACGCAACTTGGTGAACGGTGAACGGTGAGCGAACGCAGAACGCGAACGGAGCGCAAACGCGAGCGCAAAGTGAACGGTGAACGAACGGTGAACGCAAGATGAACGATTTATTCGGAATGCCTCTGATCTTTTCCTTGCATTGAAACTATTCTATTGTGTTCTAATGCTTGGTGCTAAAAAAAATAAATAAATAATAAATAAATAAACAAATCAATGAAAATTGTCCTAAGAAAGACGATACATGCACATTAAGTAGAATTATTAATTTAAGTTTCTTGCAATATTTTCTGCACGTATGTACGATGTTTAAATTCAACTTTTTAATAACACGATTTTTATCGCTGTAAAACATTGTAATTGTTACCAAACGCTGTAGTATAACAGATGAAATTAATATAGTTGTAAAATAAATATGTTTATTCTTATTTGATATAAAAAACCATTGCAAATAATGTGGATTTTAGAAGAGAAAATTACGGACTTATAGAATGAATTACAACGGCTGTAACAACCATACAAGGGATTCCGTGTAAAATAATGAGGAAAAAAAAATTTACAAAGGTATGTGGACCTATTGCATAAATACACTCGTATTTTAAAATCTTAATGCAATAATATATTTATGTGTTAGTTTTATTTTTTTATGATTATTTATTGAGCGGACTTCTACATGTATCTGTAGACATTTCCCGGCCGTGATTATACTCGGACAAGATGATACAAAGAGGCAATCATATTATTTGTTATATATTAAATTTTCACAACTTGATATTTAAGTAATATGTTGGCATAGTTTTTATTAAACAGACAAATGAGAGAGAGAGAGAGATTCGGTTTTAGCCCCCCCCTCCTAAAATGTTTGCACCTATATCACACAAAAATTCTAATTCTTTTCTAAATATATCAGGCAGTGAAAGTATCCATTTTTTTTATCAACAAATCCATTTGTTTTACAGTCATAATCGGTTTTTTTTCCTGCTTCAAGTTCACACGAAGTCCACGTGCTTGACCTGTCAATCAAAATCATTCGACACTGTGCAGGTGTGAAAGTCTCGTCACACCGAAGGCAAAGTGTTAGTATTTCCAAGAAGTTTTAACATTTTTTCTTATCATTTCTATAGATCTGATTCCAACATTTCTAAAAAAAAAAATAAAATAAAATAAATAAATAAATAAAATACGTTTGGAAGAAACACTTGGAATGATTAAGCCGCTTGAATTTGAAACATACTCCCTGCCAATTTAAAATACATGTATCACCGCCGGCACATGTATATTTTGAACTACTATTGTTTAATGAATTTGTTTAGATGCATGTTTGTTTTGAGACTGAAATTTTTGTGCTACAAAACACATTAACTTCTTCTTAAATGTTAACTAAAATGTACTGGAAATACTAACTAAGTAACCGATTTAGGGGAAAAAGGGGGGGGGAGGGCTCTTAATAATATCGAATGACAAACATAAAGTTACGGTGAAAAATATCATTACCGGAGAATCACCTTGGTTATATAAATGATAATTATGTTATAAAGGCATTTCTCTCTCTCTAATTAAAGACTTTATATATGTAAAGTAGAAAAAAAATTCTTTAATGTATTACATTTTAAACAAATATTTTTTTTTAACCACACTATCAATTTAATTCGCTCTAAAGATATTTAATTAACTGGATATCCGCAGTACTGTTTATCATTCTCAGAACAAGTTCTAACATGTATTTCTGTATTATTTGAAAAAAATGTGATAGAAATAAATATTTTCGTATTTTTGTTGCAGGTGGTAAATTAATTGACTTCGATTACTATCTATCCATTTACGATTTGTCGTCTTTAACATAAAAGCAAAATGTTGCAGTACTTGAAGTATCAGTATTTTGACTGTATTTAGATTTAATTTTTCAGCATCGTTCTACATCGGTACATACATGTACATGTACATGTACTTATAACAACATTGATTTTCCACATAAATTTTATAAATAACCTAACAGATAAGTTACAATAATAAAATAAATATTGTAGATAATTTTTTTCCCATGAAATAATGATTCTTTAAAAACTGTATGTTATTTATTGAATTCAAAACCTGTAAATCCTTACTTAAAAAAAGATAAGTCCTTTCACTTCGGAGTTCCGAATGACACTGAAGACTGAACGATAAGTGAACGCTGAACGCAAGGTGAACGCAAAGTGAGCGAACGAAGAGCGAACGGTGAACGCTTTGTGAACGGTGAACGCGAGCGCACGGTGAACGCTGAACGCAAAACTGTGAACGGAGAGCGAACGGAGAGCGAACGGTGAACGCACGGTGAACGAACGGTGAACACACGCTGAACGAACGGTGAGCGAACGGAAAAATGGGAAAGTAGAACGTTTCAGGGACTGTATCTGATAAGCCACAAGTAGAGATTGATTTTAGTATCCCTATGCAGTGTTGGTAGAGCAAGTTCAGAAAGATGAAATATGAATTTTATAACTGAATTGTGAGTGCTCCAGGAGGCAGTTCTAAGGAGCATTGTTCCAATCATAGATTTTAATCAAAAATCAGTTTATTGTATGTAGATTTCAAGGTCGTAATTATTAGAATTTTATTACAATGGATCAGTTCTATTCGATTTGTTTTCTGCAACTTATAATTGGAAAACAAAAATATTCATAATAACATTAGCATCAAACTTTTCCCTTCCAGTACAAATCAGTTGAGCTACAGTCTCATCAGATACTTTTGGTGTTTTTTTATTTCAACACTATATTATATAAATTTGTTAGAATTCACGTTTGCTCCATCTTTTATAGAGTCAAAGAAGATAGAGGAAAGAGGAGGATATGTTTTCCACCAGACAAGTGTGCCGTCAAATTTCAATTTCGGATCTTAACCCCAGTTTAATTACAACATAATTCCTGATACATATCTTTCCCTTGTGATGAAAATAAAGGTTTTAAGCCAGTATCAAACAATGTTTTCTGAACTCTATAGGCAGGAAAATGCTGAATTCATCAGGAATTGTGTCAATAATGAATACAAATGAAACATTTAATCCATGCCGTTTTAAACTTCTTTGCATGTGCTTTCGAGTCAGATTTTCATGCCATTTTTCCAATTATGACAAAGCTTTGTGTGAAACGCATCTTTGTGATGTTAACTTCAGTTCTAAACTGAGAAAACGGGTTGTTTCATTTGCTTCATATTATAACTGTGCTACTGAAAAAGTGCTACTGTGTTTCCCTCATTTGTAATAGTGCTATGTTTTCTTTATTTATGCATTCAATTAACAAATACATCAAGAAAACCAGACAGAAGATGGATTGACCTTCTAAACCCATCCATATGTAATCGTTAAAATTATAAAATGTTCAACAGCACAGACAGGTTTCCCTGTACACATTGTGAGAAAAATACTGAAGAACTGATGGAGATATGGTAGAGTATAACTTCACAATCGTGAGAAAACTTCAGAGATTAAAAGTCATGGCTGTTACTGTGTTTTAAGATGAACATAAACTCGGTAAATTAAGAAATTCATTGTACATATATTTTATACATGTATATACATATATTGTTGGCAACAGAAGAACCATTGCACAGAACTGTAGAAAGAGATTTCAATGCATGTTATACCTATTTCAGTACTTTACGTGTTTCTGATAGTCTGTATCTTTTTTTGTTTTGTTATTTATTTTTGTTCCAGAATTAATTTGTTTTAGCATTCCAAATGTTCTTGATAACTGTATACTTATATAAAGTAAAAATATCTCAACTTTGGCATGCATTCATTTGGCATAAAGCCCATAGTTTTAGTTCAAGTAAAATGCTCAAAAGTGTGACATTGCTATCTTTTTGCTTTATATTTATTAAATCTGTGAATGTCAAGATGATATTTGAATGTGAAGATGAAAGGTTTTTAACTTACAGACATTTCAGAACAACGTATGAATAGTTGAAGTATCCAATTCTTTTTAAAAATCTAGACGGAAGTTATGCCCCCCCCCCCCCCCCCCCCCCCAATTTGTTGGCAAATAATAGAATATAGAAAGTTCAAAGTTGTTAAAATTGAAGTGGATACTGTCAATTTACATATAAATAGGGGTCTTTGGTATCATTTGTCAGTATTTATTCACCAGTGTTGTGGGAAGAAAATGCCACCCCTCCCCTCTGTTTTGCAAATTCATATTTAATAGAAGTCTGTATAAAATCAAGAGTCCTTGATGTCACTGACCTTATTTTAAAGGTGGTTTACATAAAGTCTGAATCTTAGAATTAATTAAATGTTTTGTTGATTTGAAGTTAAGTTTCCAAGCAAACTTCCTGCAGCACTGGCAGTGCTTAATGTGCAATATATATGTGTGAATGTGTCATGCTTACTCTAAAACGTGTGTATACTGTGAGACAAGTATTTTCTGCAGAAGTCCGACTTTTTTGCTGCGAAGGTCCCTTGTCTTTATTATGCCAATAGGCCATACTCGAACTTTAATGAAAATGATAGCAAATTGTGTGGCTAAAATCAGGGCCATGGACTATATCTGTTACTAAGAAAATGGAAGAAAACTTCAAAACTCAATCTTTATGATAACATTAATGATTTATTGAAATGTTATATCTTTGATAAATTATCATTAATGGGATTAAAATAATTTTAAATAATTATGTGAGTGGAAGATAATAATTACTATATGCATCAGGCTTTGATTTTATAGAAAAACATTTTTTTTGGTTAATTTGCTGAATTTGAGACGCAGAAACAAATCTTTTCAGCACATTTATGGTTGGGGCTTATATTTCCTCTACTTTTTCTGTGCTTTTTTACAAAAGAGTTCTGATATGTAATCAGAAAGTTACCCATTGGTTAGAATCGAAAGAATGAAAATTGGAATGCTTCCTTGTAAAGTATCTGAATTACAAAAAGTTATAGCATTCAGAAATGACTTGTTTTACTGTATTCTGTTAAACCTACATTTAACTTCTAGTCCAAGTGTATCTAACCTGTGTATGAAAACTGCTGTAATTAACAAAATCCTATGTTAAAACATCATGTAATGGTATTGCCTGTCTTTTATGTCACAGAAGTACAGTATAACAGGAATTTTTGGTGACCATCTACTGTTGGCATTATTAGCTAAAAAGAAATGTTGCTATTATTTAAATCAAAAATATTGTCTTGGAAAACATATATATATATCCCAAAAATCACCAAAAATTATTTCCACTAATTATGTACATACAATACCCACTTTCAGAATAAAATCGCTAAATCCTGTCACTAAAATAATCTAGTATACAGTATTGTCTAAATATTTTATGGTGAATCTTGTGTGCATACATTTCATCTATGTGATAATTTTTATATTGACTGTTGTCAAGGAATATCTTCTTCTTTTCAATATTACTTTATTTAAAATAAAGGGTGTGGTCTCGGCTCTTATAGATTTTGTTTGAAATGCCCGGAGTCATTCATTGCCCCTTTGAATGAATAAAAAATTCTTATAAATTAATGAAGTATTCTGCTGTGTATTCTACCAAAAGTACATGTGTATTGATTTAAAGGCAGGCAAATACATGTAATAGAAATCCTGTACAGAATGTATTGTTTTATTGTATTTTCTGAATTTTTTCCTTTAATGAGAAGGAAATTGGATCATGGTGCACAGGATTTGAACTGGTGCATGCAATGCATTTAGTTGTTTTTTTGAACATTAGTGTGAAATGTTTTGACTCGTGTAGTAACGGAACATTTTTACTTGTTAAAAACATGCTTCAAGTTTTCATGTGTACACGTTATCTGTTGATAATTTTCCAATGTGTTAATTACTTATTAGATTTTTAGTTTGAAGATTTCTCTGAAGCAGTTTTTAAGCTGTATGAACAATTTAATATCAATTTGGCAAACCATCTGCAGACTATGATTTCTATTTCGAAATGTGTAAAACTTTCTCTTGCAGATTTGTATAAAATTACCATATTTTTAGATGTTTAGATTTTCATTAAGCAAAATTTATTTATTATGATGTTTCACATAAATTTCATGTTCAATAAATCTTGACTGGAAAAAACAAAGTGTCATTCATATAATTATGATGAATTGCAAATGTTGGATGATTTTCATTTCACTTCAAAAATATGAAATGCAGAACTAAACCCCAAGAAACACATGGATTAGTGGTTTTTAATCTTTCATTACTGAATTGGATCAGTTGTACACCTTTTATTACTGGTAAAAAGTGTATTTAATTTATCATGTGCCATTTGGTATAACTTGCAGTACATTTTTAGCTCTTCTGAGCCAAAGGCTCAAAGAGCTAATGCTACGGCCATTTGTGCGGTGTGCGTAAACTTTTTAGAATATGGGCCATAACTCAAGAACCCCTTGGCCAATTATTGTCAAATTTGTCACAGGGTATCCTTGGCCCAAGGGCTCCCTTTTATACTAAAACTGGGGTTGTGACCCTTTAACAAGGGGAGATAATTAGGAAAATAGAAACAAAAGTACTGGTTGCTAAAAAATCTTCTTCTCAAGAACCACTGGGCAGATTATCACCAAACTTACACAAAAGGATGAGGATATGTTGTAGATTAAAATTTGCACGGGGATTTACCCTGGGGCAAAGGGCGTGGTCTCAAGGTCACTTCAAAGTTGACCAAAAATTACATTTTATTAAAATGTTGATATTTTGCTTACTATAAGGACTAGGATCATCAAATCTTGTCAGTTGGTGCATCTAAGGACCTCATATCATGTTGACTCAAAAGTAGGTCATGGTGACCTACTATTTAAATTTTGCGGCCATTCTTTTTCAAAATGATTTAGAGGCATATTTTGAACTATTTAAGGCCTATGATCATCAAACTTTGTCAGTTGATGCATCTTGGGTCCTCAAAGTACGTCAACTAAAAAGTAGGTCACCTTGACCTACTTTTTGAATTTTATGGCTTATCTTTTTTAAAACAATTAAGGTCATTAATTCGAATACGGGGAGGCTTAGAATCATTAAATCTTGTAAGATGATGCATCTTGGGGCCATAAAACATATTTATTAAAAAGTAGGTCACAGTGACCTACTTTTTGAACTTTGCAGGCATTCGATTTCAAAGCGTTTTAGAGGCATAATTTGGACATTTTAAGTCCTATGATCATAAAACTTTGTAAGTTGATGCATCTTGGGTCCTCAAAAAAGGTCAACTGAAAAGTAGGTCACCGTGACCTACTTTTCAATTTATATGACTATAATTAAATATTTCAGGTACTAATTGGCTTAGAATCATCAAACTTTGTCAGTTGATGCATCTTGGGTCTTCGGAGTAGGTCGACTAAAAAGTAGGTCACAGTGACCTACTTTTGAAAATTTATGGCGTTAATTAAATATTTCGGGTACTAATTGGCTTAGAATCATCAAACTTTGTCAGTTGATGCATCTTGGGTCTTCAGAGTAGATCGACTAAAAAGTAGGTCACCGTGACCTACTTTTGAAAATTTATGGCTTTAATTAAATATTTCGGGTACTAATTGGCTTAGAATCATCAAACTTTGTCAGTTGATGCGTCATGGGTCTTCGAAGTAGGTTGACTAAAAAGTAGGTCACCATGACCTAATTTTGGAAAATTTATGGCTTTAATAAAATATTTCAGGTACTAATTGGCTTAGAATCATAAAACTTTGTCAGTTTAGCCGTCATAGGTCCTCGGAGTACAACAACTGAAAAGTAGGTCACCGTGACCTACTTTTGAAAATTTATGGCTTTAATCAAATATTTCGGGTACTAATTGGCTTAGAATCATTAAACTTTGTCAGTTGATGCGTCTTGGGTCCTCGGAGTACAACAACTGAAAAGTAGGTCACGGTGACCTACTTTTGAAATTTTATGGCTGTATTTAATATTTTCAGGAATTATTTGGCTTAGAATCGTCAAAATTTGTCAGTTGATGCATCTTTGGTCCTCTGAGTAGGTTGACTGAAAAGTAGGTCACTGTGACCTACTTTTGAAAATTTATGGCTGTAATTAAATATTTTGGGTACTTATTGGCTAGAATCATCAAACTTTGTCA